CTTTCTCTCATGGAAGTTTAAATCCTCCCCCATGAATTTCTGCATTCCCGATATTGTATTCCGAATATCATTATCTGACTGCCGGGCTGGAAGATCTTTCTTAAGGACTAGGGGGTCAGATAGATCAAATTCACGGCGAGTTTCTGGCTTCTGAAAGCTCTGTTGGAAGTCACTGATAACTCTACAGAGATTTTTCCTATCTCTCCTTTCCTGGTCTTCTAATACGCACATGATTTTGTCATTTTGTCTCATTTCAGCAGCTAGAAGAGACATAACATATCCATAAGCTTAAGATTCAGAGGAAAAAATAAATTTGAATTCACTTAAAATAATAACTTCCAGTGATTGTAAAAGTAAAACAATCCTCCAAAAAATAAACAAAAACAAAAACACAACCGTTAAAGGATTAATGTCCTGAATATAAAAGGGTACCTACAAATAAATTTTAAAAACCCAAACACCCCAACCAAAAAATGGGCAAAGGTTAAGAACAGGCAAATCACAATAAGGAAACATGAGTGATCAATAAACTTGTCACAATAAGGAAACATGAGTGAAATCACAATAAGGAAACATGAGTGATCAATAAACTTGTGAAAAGATGATCAGCCTTACAAGATGGGAAACATTCAGTGCATTGGAAGCAAAATATTTAAAATGCCATAATAGCACTTATTAGTAAGGATGTGGGGGAACAACAACCCTCATTCATTGCTTGTGGGAGCATAACTTGGTATATTTATAACAAAGCAATTTGTCCATATCCCATAAAATGGAAAACATGCCTACCTAAGATCCTTCCATTTCACTCCTAGGTATCTCTCTCACAAGTGCACTAGGGACATAAGGCATGGACAGTCATCGCAGCAGTGTTTGCAATGATAAAGAAAATGGGGAAAAAAATCTAAACCAGCCATCAGCAGGGGAATGAATAAAGAAAGTGTGTTTAATTCATTTAACAAAATGCCGTAAAACAATTTAAATGAATACTTTCTATATGTAGATCATGGATTAATTTCGAAAATGCAATGCTGAATGAAAGAAAAACACATTGTAAAAGGATCCAATCAATAGGATACTGCTTAAATTTTAAAAACACACACATAAAAAATTGTATATTGTTATAGATACATACACAAATAGTAGAAGTATAAAAAAATGCATGCGAATAATGCACACTTCTGAGGAGGAAAGAAGAGGAAAATTATGAGGTGAGGGGGAGCGTTACCCATATATATAAAAAACACAATTCTAAAAACTTAATCGATAGGCCACTGCACGTACAATTTCATATCCTGCTTTTTTTAATTTTAAAAATCCTTATGGTGTTTTAAAAAACTGATACTTCAACAATTGTTGAAATTGTTGGTCAAGATAGGGGAAAATGAATTGCATTTGAAGTTTTGGTCTAAGACCTAGAACACTATTATTTGAATCATGTCTATCTCTGAGTCAGCTCAGAGGCATGAGCTCAGGCATGTGCGTGTCATCTGGTGTAAACAATTGCACTCCATAGAAGGTCTTGAACTTTGGGGCAGAGTATGTGTTCATGTGTGTGTGGTTTTTTTTTAAGAAAATAGAAAAAAACATACATTTATCCTTAAAATATATTTCCTACAATCTACATTAGAATTCAAAAGCTGTTTTTCTCTTAGAGGATGATTCAGTGCATAAGTTAATTGAGCACGAGAAACTGTGAAAATTTAAAAGGAGGAAGAGTGTGAAAATGACAACTTTTTACATATGTGAAGACATGAGGGCTGGAGTCTAGAGGAACACAGCCCTAAATGGATAGGTAAGCATTCAGGAAATGCTCACCAAAGGTTTCATGTCTAGCTTTTTCAGTTGCTTCTTTTATCTTCTGATCATGAACTTGAACATCCCAGGCTCCTGTGTCTCCCTGGGAATGGGAAACCAGGGATAGGGGTTAGAGCCAGATAATTTCAGTCAATAGATAACCATCCTACTTATCTTTTTCGCCTTGCCCCACTATAAACAAGTTGTCTTAGGAACATATCAGGCCTTTTCATACTTGGCTACCTTTGCTTATATTTTGTTCTTCAGCCTAAACTCTCAGCTTTCCCCAGAGCTTCCTTCCCCCTTACTCCTGGTTAACAGATACTCATCCTCAGAACATGTGTAGGCATCACCTCCTCTCGGAAGGCTGCTTTGATTTCCCCTCCCAACCCCAGTCTCTGCTGCGTGGCATCCCAGTGCCCCCCTCCCTCACAGCACTGATTCCCCTGATTTTAATGTGACCTGGGGAGGTCAGTGCCTGCCTCCTTTGCCGAGCCATGAACTCTGCAAGGTCGGGGGCTTTTATTCCTCATCTCCTGGACCCGGCTCCGGCTTGCCACAAAAGAACTCCACCAGCATTTGTCAAATGAACGGACTTGAAGGAACCACAGGCAATGTAGAAAGTCTGACTCGAAGTGGGGAGAACCGCATTCTAGTCTCTGTTCCGCCACTAACTCCGGCCAAGCTCCCGGCCTGCTCCAGGCCCCCATGTGCCCTCCTGGCAGGTGACAGGGTGCATTATTCGGCCTGTGAGGTTCTCCCCCATCTTCAACAAAGTCAATACATCGAACTCTTCCTCCTACTCCCACCCCCGCACCCCGACAAAACATGCTGCAATTTACAGCTGTACCTGGACCAGAAGTTTCATTTTAAGGGTCATCCCCTCCCCTCTCCCGCCGTCCGCCTCCCTCGCCCTCTCAGGCCACTTCACCCCGACGATCCTGTTCCTGGCGTTGAAGATCTGTCGCTGCCTGCACAGCTCCGCGTGTCTCCTCTTGGCCAGGCTAGCGTGCTGCTCCAGGTCCCTGGGCAGGGCCACCTCCATGGCTGCGGGAATCGACAGGAAATGCTAAGGGATTTTTAGAAGATGCAAAATAAGAAGAAAAGACAACAAAAATGAAGGAAGCTGTGGCCCTGAAGAGGCTGGCTCCCTAGGGGGCTGTGCGGGTGGGATGCACGTCGGTACCGCGGCTTTCAGACGGGCTTTCCAGCACGTCGCCCAGGGTGCGGAAACGCCAACTCCGGTTGCTAAGGAACGGCGCGGCGCTCGCCGCGGTCTCGCTCTCGCCTCGCGAGACTTGGAGAGGCTCTTCCCGCGCTTTTCCCGCCGAGCGCGAGGACGCGGCTGAGGCGAGGAGGGTGCAGCCATGGGGCGCTTGGAGGTGCTGCTCGTTGAGAACTTCAAGTCGTGGCGGGGCCGCCAGGTCATCGGCCCCTTCAAGAGGTTCACCTGCATCATCGGCCCCAACGGCGGCCGGGAGGCTGCCGTCATGGGCCTCCTGCAGGTGCTGATCGTGGAGAACTTCAAGTCCTGGCGGGGCCGCCAGGTCATCGGCCCCTTCAAGAGGTTCACCTGCATCATCGGCCCCAACGGCTCCGGTAACTGGGCACCTCGGGGTGGGACCAGAACGCTCCTACCCAGCCCAGTCGGCAGCACTTTGCCTGAGGGGACGTGAGGGCGGCTATGCGGCCTGGACTGTGGGCGGCCTCCACCCAGTCCCCGGACCGCTCCACCCTGAGTCCCCGGCCCTCGCCCTTCCCCCGGCCTCGGGCCAGCTCCTCGCCTTCGCCCGCCACCTTCATCCCCGACGGGCCGGCTCCTCGCCTTCTCCCGCCATCCCCATCCCCGTCGGGCCGGCTCCTCGCCTTCTCCCGCCATCCCCATCCCCGTCGGGCCGGCTCCTCGCCTTCTCCCGCCATCCCCATCCCCGTCGGGCCGGCTCCTCGCCTTCTCCCGCCATCCCCATCCCCGTCGGGCCGGCTCCTCGCCTTCTCCCGCCATCCCCATCCCCGTCGGGCCGGCTCCTCGCCTTCTCCCGCCATCCCCATCCCCGTCGGGCCGGCTCCTCGCCTTCTCCCGCCATCCCCATCCCCGTCGGGCCGGCTCCTCGCCTTCTCCCGCCATCCCCATCCCCGTCGGGCCGGCTCCTCGCCTTCTCCCGCCATCCCCATCCCCGTCGGGCCGGCTCCTCGCCTTCTCCCGCCATCCCCATCCCCGTCGGGCCGGCTCCTCGCCTTCTCCCGCCATCCCCATCCCCGTCGGGCCGGCTCCTCGCCTTCTCCCGCCATCCCCATCCCCGTCGGGCCGGCTCCTCGCCTTCTCCCGCCATCCCCATCCCCGTCGGGCCGGCTCCTCGCCTTCTCCCGCCATCCCCATCCCCGTCGGGCCGGCTCCTCGCCTTCTCCCGCCATCCCCATCCCCGTCGGGCCGGCTCCTCGCCTTCTCCCGCCATCCCCATCCCCGTCGGGCCGGCTCCTCGCCTTCTCCCGCCATCCCCATCCCCGTCGGGCCGGCTCCTCGCCTTCTCCCGCCATCCCCATCCCCGTCGGGCCGGCTCCTCGCCTTCTCCCGCCATCCCCATCCCCGTCGGGCCGGCTCCTCGCCTTCTCCCGCCATCCCCATCCCCGTCGGGCCGGCTCCTCGCCTTCTCCCGCCATCCCCATCCCCGTCGGGCCGGCTCCTCGCCTTCTCCCGCCATCCCCATCCCCGTCGGGCCGGCTCCTCGCCTTCTCCCGCCATCCCCATCCCCGTCGGGCCGGCTCCTCACCCCTGCTCTCCACCTGCATTCCCCATCGCCCTTGCCCGCCACCACCCCTCGGGCTGGGGCTTTGCCCCCGCCCTCCACCTCGCCTCTGCCCTGGTCCTCTTCTTTGCCCCGGCTTCTCCTGCTCTGTGGGCTTCTTCTGCCCTCAGCCCTAATTACCCCTCCTCTTAGTCCCCTTCCTCTTCTCATCCAAAGATTAAGTGGGAGGGAGATTTCTAGGAGGTCGTTGGCTCCAAGGAACCTGAACAACCATTTGGATCCAAGGAACCTTTGACCAGGACCATGTTTATTGAACTTTTACTAAGTTCCTGGCACCACTATTTTTGTTTAACCCTAGCAAATAAGTATTATCCCCATTTTATAGTTGAGGAAAGTGAGGTTCAGAGAGGCCAGACGAGTTGCCAAGGTCTGCCAGTAAGTCGACCAGTTGAATCCAGGCCCTGCCAGGCTCCACATGGCGCTATGATGGGAGACTAGAGGAGTAGTGACCCAGAGCAGGTGCAGTGGGGCCTACAATGATACTTACCTCTTCTAACAGTGCCTCTTCTCTTTGGCTCTCTCAGCCTAGATTTCCTTACTTAGCTCAGGAATCAGATTTGAGTTTAATGGTAACCTCAACAAACTAATTTACTTGACATATAAATAGAACACTTAAATATGTGCTTTCCTGGCATACAAAATCTGGAGTATAATTATTGCGGAACTGGTGTGAAATTTATGTTGCCTTATAAAAGTAGCTCGTGTTTAATGTTTTCCTTTGCACTTTCAGTATGTGTGAAAGAACACCTGAGCTTAGAAATATTTACACATTTGAAAGTTGCCTCTTCATGTGTAATATATTTCGTCATTCATACTTTATTGTGTTATCAAAGATATTGAAAAGATAATTACTATAAATACTTTTGCGTTCTTACGCTAATCTTCTTCACCTTTTACTGGTGGTTATGTGACAGGTTGCTTAGTTATATTTTGTAACTCCAATAGTGGGATGCTTAGAATGAGTATCTACATAAGGTCTTGAACTTCAGTCAACCTAAACTACATGCCCATTACTATTCAAACCTTTTAAAACTAGTGCCAAACTTAAGTTAAAAATAATCTTAATTTAAAAATGCAGATTGTGATTAAAAACATATCTTAAGGTTTTTGTGAAAATACCTTTACAAATTCCTCTTGCCCCTCCCCGGACCCACTTGCCCTGGAGGCTCAGCTTCCTCTTGAGAATCACTGGTAACCTAGGGACTATGTTTGTAACCACATAAAGCCAGTCATGGATTATTTCAGCTTTGCCTTCAATACCATCTCTGCACAACAATTTTTGGCTTACTTATTACTGGATTTCGTCTTGGCTGTTACATTCTTCTTGCTCTATGAAGTCCAAAACTCAATGTAGTACTCATCCATGACTAATTTAAAGGGTGATAGTTCATTTATATTCATTTGAACTCTTGTTAATAGATCTTTTATTAATCTCACAGAATTACTGGCACATTCAGATAGATTTTGTTAAGCCAATTGATCATTTCCTGTTATACTTTAATTTAGTTGGTCGTTCTTTTCATAATAATTTCCTGTTGTCACCACCTGCCAAAACTTGACATGTTCTTAATTTGGGAGAGTAGTAAAGGAAAAAATTCAATTTTAATCTTAACCTTTATGTTTTCCATTCAGTTAGATTCAGCGAATAGTTGTTGCATATATATATTGCTAGGAGCAGAAGAAGATATACAGAATAAGACAGCTTCTGTTCCTAAGATACAGGGAGTGTAAAAAAATAACACTAGATACTCTGGTTTCTCTTCAGATTGTATAAATCTTTTGCCTTTTACTAAAGATTTCCATGGAGAGAAACAACTCTGAGTCTTAAACCAGTTTTTTGAGGACCTGTTTCGGCAAGGCTACTTACATTGTTTAAAGAAAGACTTTGCTTATTGTCTCTTTGTTAGACTTTTACTTAACTTTTTTATTGTCTTATACTAAATAAGCTAAAGTTAGTTGACTGATAGTTTAACCTATATTCAATTTAGTTAAGATAGAAACAGCTCAGTTTGTGAATTTATTTCATGAGCTTAAACTTGAGGGCAAGTGTTCTGGAATTAATAGTTCCTTCCATTCTATTTGCCACCTTTCAGATCGCTCTCTTATAGTAATCATTTCCACCTTTGTTAGATCATTTTCTGAAACAATGTGAAGTTGATTTTAATATATTTAATCCAATAGATACAAAATATTTTAATGCGTAATCATTATAAAAGATTATTAATAAAACGTTTTACTTTAAAAAAAGAGAGACTAACACACTAATTGAGACAGAAGGCCAGATAACAGTATTTATGAAACTTTAAACTAGGAAAATAAAACATTTGATTTGGGGAAGTATGGATAGGAAGAAGTGTAGATCAGGAAAGGTTTTCCAGAGAAGATGGCATGCGAGTTGTACTCAAAGAGTAGATTATTTTTCCAGGGGTTTTTGAAAGTCTATTTGTGGGACAGGTAATAGTCCAAACTGGCCAGCATGTAGTGCATGTCTAGGGAAGCAATAGAATATGAAGTTGTAATCCCCACATTTACTATACTTGGATAAGAATTACTTCTTTTTTTTTTTTGCCTTCCTTGCATAGGCCAAACTCATTGCCATTTCAGAATGTTAGCATTTGCTGGTTCTTGGGCTTAGAATGCTTTTCTCCCAGGATTTCATATGACTACCACCTTGATGAATTTTCCTTCATCCTTGATAAGTTCTCCCTGTTACAGCCAGTATATTACCAATCATGCCAGTTCTCCATCCTTAATAGCCCTGTCCTCTTTATTCTCACTACTATCGCTTTACTTCAGGATCTCATCTCTTTTTTAGATTAATGCAGTAACCTGTTTGCTGAATTCTCATCCTTCAGTCTTACCCTACTTTAAATCCATGTGGCATGTTGCTACCAGAGTAATCTTAATTTGTTCCTGCAAGAAAGAAGATCCAGGGCCGAGCCCGTGGCGCACTCGGGAGAAGCGCAGCAGCGCTCCCGCCGTGGGTTCTGATCCTATATAGGGATGGCCGGTGTGCTCACTGAGCGTGGTGTGGCTGGTCTCAAAAAAAAAAAAAAAAAAGGACAAAAAAAAAAAAAAAGAAAGAAGATCCATTTTATTTTCTTGGTAGATGAGGAAAAGGACTTCACAGAAATAGAGGGGATAGAGAAAGAAACTAAATGACACCATAAAGAGATAATCCAACAAATCCAAATATTTGTGGGAAAACTTTATTCTAATCTTTTGAACAAGTCAGTGTTAT